TATGTAAAAACTATGTGAAGTTCAGATTCCATGTTTCATAACATCTTATTGGAACGTAACCTTGCTCATTAGGTTTTATATTCTCTATGACTGCTTTCTCATTACAGAAGCCGGCTTGATTAGTTGTGACACAGACCATATGGCCTTCAAAGTCTAAGATATTCACTATCTGGCCTTTTACAGCACAAGTTTGCTGACTCTAAGTTAGAGTAAATCCACTTTGATCCATCTTATTTATTATTCTTCCCCATGAGAGTTCACTTGAAGAAAGGATTCTACTGCCTTAAAAACAAGGTTTTTTTTTTTTAAATATATAAACTTTTCAGAAGTTCAGCCCAAACAAATGTGCTAGTGTTCTTGTTCTTTTGTCACCCTGATGGCAGGATGGGGTTCACAGTTCAGTTTGAAAATACATACTGGGAACTGGCACCACCCGCAGCACCGGAATCCCATATGGACGTCGAGTACCAACTTCCCATCAAGCTCCCTGCTAATGGCCTGGGATTGCAGTAGAAGATAGCCCAAGGGCTTTGGGCACACAGGGGAGACCCAGAAGAAGATCCTGACTCTTGTCTTCAGCCTGGCCCAGCTCTGGCCATTGCAGCCATTTGTGGGATGAACCAGCAGATGGAACATCTCTGTCTCTCTTCCTCTGCCTCTCCTTCTCTGTACTAGATTTTCAGATAAATAAATAAATCTTTAAGAAAAGAAAATACATAGTGGGTAATTCACAGCAATATTTGAATATAGAATATAGATGATATAAAATTTAACCATAAGTGCCACCAAAGATTTTAAATCTGGAAGAGAAATAAAATATTTCTGTATATTTTTTGGATATTTTATTGAAAGAGAGATTTAACATAGTTTAAAAGGAAGGCATTTGACTCAGTTATTTGATTCTAATTGATACTCAACAGATTGCTACCATTCCAGCAAATTTTCATTGTTCCTCATTCTTCATTCTAAAGATCATATTCCCTAAAAGTTTTGGTCTTGGTCTAGTTTATCTACCTCTCTTGTTTTCATAGGATCTAATACATTTCTGTAATTGTTAATCTGCTTGGTATCTCTGTACTAAACTATAAATAAGCTTATTTGATATTTGACTCGCTGGACAAATGAAGGACTACTTTTTATTTTGGGTGGACATAGTCATCTTAACCACTTGGCTGATTGACTTTCCCATTTTGGTGTAGGTTTTGTTTGTTTTTTAATTTATTCATTTGAGAGAGAGAGAGAGAGAGAGAGAACACGCCCATGCACTCTGATGGGGATTCACTCCCCAGCTGTTGGCAACAGTCAGGGCTAGGCCAGCCTGGAGCCAGGAGCCAGACACTCAATCCAGGACTCCCGTGTGGGTGGCAGGAACCCAATTACTTGAGCCATATCACTGCCTCTCAAAATCTGCACTAGCAGAAAGCTGTAGTCAGGAGTTGGAGCAAGGAATTAAAATCAGATACTCCAGTATAGGGCGTAGGTGTCTTAGCTAATGTCTTAACCGCTAGGCTAAACACTCACCCCATTTCTTATTTTAGTTAGTGCAGTATAACGTTTCAGAACATTGGCTTTAGCCTCGGATTTATCAGTCAATCATGTCTTTCCTGTGTTCTTTAGCCTGGTGAATGTTTCTTCATCTATGAAATGGAAATTAGCAGTAATGGTAACGATGAAAATGATGCCTTTTATGGTTTGTTGTGAACCTCAACTGAGATGTTGCAAGTAAAATACTTAGTAAAGACTTTGCCAGCTGGGTACAAGTTGTAAATACCAAGATGGAATCACTTATGTCAAACCCTAACAAAATGGAGCCAGGAAGCCATGAAAGGAGAGTCTTCAGGCAAGTGTGTCTATAACCAGAGCTGTCACAAAGGTCTTTCCCAAACTGGAATTTTCTGGTTAAGTCACTTCCATGAAGACTCTCCAGGCAACAACCAGTACCAATGACCAAACATTACTTCCTATGTTAAGCCCTTGTATCCAGTGGTCTTTGTTTCATAGCAGCTTACATGGATTTCTACTTTTTTGACTTGAAAAATTCCCCCTGCCCCAACCCCATCCATGTGCCTGTGGTCCACCATGCATGTGTATCTCTGATTACAATCCCTTGCTATTCCAGAATAAAATCTTTGTCTTGAAGAGTCAATCTCTCTCTCCCTCTCTCTCTCTCTTGTCGCTCCCCCTCTTCGCGGAGGAACGACACAGGACCCTGCACTGTTCTTTTGTCTGCTCGGCCCTTCCCGGGTTTGCTGCTGGTCCTTCCCGGGTTGGCTGCCGATCCTTCCACCTCTGTGGAAGGGCGGCTCCCCCTGCCACTTTCCCCACTTCCGTGGGGGAGCAGCACACCGCCGGCCAGCTCTCTCGGGGGGCTGCTCCGATGTTATCCGGATGTTCCCTTTAGATGTTCCTGGTGCATGTTGTCTCTCTCCTCCTTTATAGTCCTCTTCCACCAATCCCAACTCTGCTACCCACACGCTGAGTACGCTGCTCTCCTCCGATCAGGAGCAGGATCAGCTCCTGCAGGTTTTTGGTCGAACTGGAGGCAGCTGTGTAGAAGTTGTTTACTCCTCTCCCAGCGCCATATTGTGGGAGAGCAGATGCATAGAATAAGTCTTAATTCCAGTAACTTAGTCTAGTCCGAGTTGCTCCCCACACTCTCTCTCTCTCTCTTTTTTTTTTTTTTTTTTAAGATTTGCTTTATTTATTTGAAAGACGAGTTACAGAGAGAGGTAGAGAGAGAGAGAGAGGTCTTCCATCTGCTGGTTCACTCCCCAGATGGCTGTAATGGCCAGAGTTGCGCCGATCTGAAGCCAGGAACCAGGAGCTTCTTCTGATAAGTTTTGGTTGATGTGTGTGTTGGGGGTTCTTGTTATATTTCTAACACTTAATATACTGTCTATTAAAAGAGTCAGATATTTTGTTGAATGGAATCAGATTTTTACTTAAAAAATTTTTATTTATTACAGAAAGAGACATCTTCCATCCACTGGTTAACTCCCCAAATGGCTGCAATGGCCAGAATTGGGCTGCACCAAAGTTGGGAGCCAAGAGCTTCTTAGAGATCTCCCACATGGGTGAAGGGCCTAAGCCATTCTCCACTGCCCTCCCAGGTGCATTAACAGGAAGCTGGATTGGAAGTGGAGCATCCAGGATACAAATTGGCACCCATATGGGATACCAGCATCACAGGTGGTGGCTTAACCCACTACACCAGAATGCCAGTCCCAGATTTTTACTTCTTATAAATTTTTAATGTATTTTTGTGTTATTTGAAAGAGAGAGAGAGAGATCTTCCATCCACTGGTTCACTCCCCAAATGCCCACAACAGCCAGGGCTGGGCTAGGCCAAAACCAGGAGTCCAGAACTCAATCCTGGTCTTCCACATGGGTAGCAGGGACCCAAACACATGTTACCAATTTTGTGAAATAAAATCTCCTGAGGCTGGCATCAGGGCACAGCAGATTATCCTGTTGCTTTCTACACCAGTATCCCATATCAGACTGCCAGTTCAAGTGCCAGCTCCTTAGTTTCTGATCCAGGTTCCTGCTAATGCATCTGGGAGAGCAGCAGGTGCTGGCCCAAGTGCTTGAGCCCCTGCCATACATGTGGGAGACCAGGATGGAGTTCCTGGCTCTTGGCTTATGCCTGGGCCAGCCGTGGGTATTGCTGACATTTGGGGAGTGAACCAGCAGGTGAAAGATCTCTCTGTCTCTCTACCTTTCAGATAAATAAGTAAATCTTTTTTAAAAAACTGCTATTTGGGGCCGGCACTGTGACACAGTGGGTTAAAGCCCTGGCCTGAAGCGCCGGCATCCCATATGGGTGCCGGTTCTAGTCCGGCTGCTCCTCTTCCCATCCAGCTCTATGCTATGGCCTGAGAAGGCAGTAGAAGATGGCCAAGTGCACCCACGTGGGAGACCTGGAAGAAGCTCCTGGTGCCTGGCTCCGGATCAGCACAGCTCCAGCCGTTGCGACCATCCAGGGAGTGTACCAGCAGATGGAAGACCTCTCTCCCTGTCTCTACCTCTCTCTGTAACTCTGTCTTTCAAATAAATAAAATAAATCTTTTAAAAAATGCTATTTATCGGTAGGAAGTTGTCTAATAATTTTCATCCAACAATTATCACATTCCTGTATGATGTGATAGGAGTTTGTTTTTATTTTTCGGTCTCCTTTTTCCATACAGTTTATAAAAAGTTAAAATATAGATTGAGGGCTTACTAGGTACCAGGGACTGCCATGTGCTTTATATTAATTCAGTTCTTAAAAGAACCATAGTAACTAAATGTTATCTCTTTCTGTTTTCAGGTGAAGCAGCCAAAGTACAGAAAGACTATAAATTGCCATAGGTTACTTAGCTAATATGAGGCAGACTTGGAATTTGAATTTATAGTTTCCCTCCAGAGTTTATGTTCCTAACCACTGTTTTCTAATGCTTTTGTTAGCCATACTCTCTCCCATTTGCCTTTTGCTTTTATGTGAATTGTAGTTTATCTAAGGTAACTTTCTTAAAGAATCTTAAATTTATTTACAGTGCCAAGCATACAAGTAGGATAGATAATACATATTTGTGCTTCAATGAGTTAAAAACTATGACTATGAAAAAATTATGATTAATATAGTATGATTTTTGTTTAATCCTCCTTTGCTTCAAGGAATAATCACTGTAGATCCATTTGGGAACTATCTATAACCAACATTGGCTATTTTGAAGCCATCTACTCTAAGATTACAACAATTTGGGTAAAGAAATGGCTTAACACATCTATTTATAGTCCTAAATTCATTTTTTTCTTGTTACTATTTAAAAAATCTTTATTTTTTATTTAAAATATTTCCTTTTTTGGGTCTTTCTGTTGAATTGTTTGTTGATTGATGGCATTGTATTAGAAACTTTACAAAACTTGAGTATACCAGTCATGATAGCAAAGTTTGATATTGAATTTGGCATTGAAAGCTATAATGATTTTGAAATTTGCTTTGTATGTCTCTTTTTTAGAATTCTCCACTTTACCAGTACTTACAAGATCTAGGACACACAGACTTTGAAGTATGTTCTTCTTTGTCACCAAAAAAAGAAAAATGCACAACAGATGGACAACAAAAACCTACAAGAGTTCCTCCAAAAGTAAGAAAGCATACTCATTATCTATGGCTTAATCTTTTGTTCTTTACCCTAATGACTAAACTGCTGTTTCCCTTACCCATGCCAAAAAAAAGAGTCCTTCGTCACACTGGTTAGGCTTTTTAAAAATAGATTAACTTTGGGCTGGCACTGTGGCATAGCGGGTAAAGCTGTGGCCTACAGTGCCGGCATCCCATCTGGACGCCAGTTCAAGACCCCGCTGTTCCACTTTGGATCCAGCTCTGTGATGTGGCCTAGGAAAACAGTGGAAGATGGGCCAAGTCCTTAGGCCCTTGCACCCACATGGGAGACCTGGGAGAAGCTCCAGTCTACTGGCTTTGGAACGGCACAGCTCCAGCCATTGCGGGTATTTGGGAGAGTGAAAGAACAGATAGACTTAGACTTCTTT